CAAATACTCTTTATCAACACTTTTCCCTGTTATCCCTTGTCTCGTTTCCCTGTTTATTTGGCTTAGCTATCAGTCAATATGCAGAGTCTATCCAATAGCTACTTTTACATTTTAAAAACTGTTTTCATCTTTGTCACCATGGATAATGTTTAGCTTTAAGTTAGATCAGGCCAGTTTGTTCATAATTGCTAGCAGTTAATGTTATTCTTACTTTCTTGTTCTTGAGTTTTTTCTTTCCTTTGTATATTATGAGTCTGATCACTTCAGCCACTCATCCACAATTTGAATGGCATGCCATAATTATATGATGTAACTTCTATGTTGTGATATGCTTTGTTTTAGTGTGTGTGTTGCTCAGAATTGCCTAATTTTGCCTAAAATTGCCCGGCCCCGACCATTGCTGCGCAGCAGCTATAATTATTATTATTGTCATCATCACTGAGCGCGTTTACATGCACACTAATAAACCGATCATTATCTGATTTCTGGAGTTACCTGATTATTCAAGTGGTCATTTAAACAGCATAATCTGATTTGCTTTATCAGATAAAAGCCATTATTTGATTATGAGAAATCAGATAAACACACCTAGCTTTTTCCCCAATAGTCAGATTATTCGATGCATGTATACCCTTTAATCTGTTTTTTTGCTATTTTATACTCCCACTCCACTACATTTTAGAGGGAAATATTGTACTTTCTACTCCACTACGTTAACCTGACAGCTTTTGTTTCCTTTCAAATGAAGATTTTACATAAAATAATATATTTTTTATATTCTCAGTGTTTAAATTGTCACTTTTATTTTATCTTACTGATATGTTAGGCACTTTGCTGTACTTTTACTACGAATCTACCCAAAGTATGTAAAATTGGCTCCACATCGATAAACTACACATTAGAATGCTGTCACATGTATTTGTTAATGATAAAAACAAACAGTACTGTAAGAATATAAGTTGTCAGCATGATGAGTTCTTTATTTTGCAAATATATGACTTGTGTACTTTTCGAGGTATTTCAAGGATATGAGTACCTACTGTAACAGGAAGTTTGGGTTTTATGTCATGTACTTGAGAAGAAATCCAACTGAAGGACTGAATCATGTAAACCAGGTTTTTCTGATTATCAGATTATTGAAGTGCATATAAACGCGTCAAATCGGATTATTACCATTACCTGATTATTCCCAGTTATCTGATTATTGTGTGCATGTAACCGTGCTCACTGTTGTTGTCTGGTGCACGTTCTGTTGCTGACGCCTTCATTTAAGTTAGCGTTTTATTTTGGAGGGTATGGACGGACGTTTCCTTGAAGTCATGCTAGCAAACCTGACAGCGGTATTTCACAAGCCTTTCCACTGACTGCCACGTCGAGTTCCGTGAGGACCAGGAGGTTTCTTACTCACTTTACTTTCTGCTGTAACAAACCTGACGTCCAGAACTCTGGGAGAAACACTGGAAGCGGGAGCTAAAACAAATCTGTCAGCGTGGAACTGCTCACAACCCGTAAGATAACGTTCTCTCTTAATGTCACACTTATGGAATCGTCAGCAGTATTTTTTCAGTGTGGGAACTAGCTCACATTTCCTAAAGTTAGTAACGTTATATGCTAACTAGCATGATGAGCCATCGGACACAGGACCGCACTGTTCCTCAACAGCACATGATATTGCAGGAGAGTAAATGTGGAGCCATGTGGCTAACTGACGACCCTGTAGCGTTACGACCAGTCCGTCATTGTAATGAGCTAGCCAGATTAACTCTTTTACTTAACGTAACGTTAGTCGGTTGGTTAAGCATTCACACCATACAGGCATTGTAGCGAATAGCCGCAGGGTTGTGTGGTGGTGTGGCATTTGTAGAGGGAGTGGAAGGTAACTTAGAGACCAACTACAGAAAGCCGATCTCTCCATGCCGGTGGCTGAATTCTTGTTTTTGTTAAGTTTGCTTATGCTGGCTTAAAGATTAGTAGAGTTCCTTAAGATTATGCTTAATGTGCAATCTTTACTGCTACAAAACGCACACGTGGGCGCACAAAGCGAGTGCTTTCCTTTGCAGGATAGAACACACCAGCTGTTAACATGTGGGCTTTATTTCTTTTGATGCTGTAATATTTAACTATAGTTAAGAGACCGTATTAGTGGGAGACAGTCAGGCACCTCTTAACACCTAAAGATGCGGGATGGGAAAGCTGTTTAAATGGAGTGTAATCCGTCAGCCAGTGGTAATAAACATGTAACAGTCAGCTGACAAAGTAAACAACGTTACTCTACAGGGCAAATGGCATAGTAGCTGTCCTAGTTGACAAATGATTGCCTTCATGGACTGTAATTTTCACAGTATTATTGTATGTAAGCCTGAGTGACATTCATCAGTTCTCTGTCTTATGAATGTGCCTTGATTTGTTGGTGTCTAGGGCAATGTGGTGGTGGTGGTAATGTAAACGCAGCTTTTGCCCTTTAATTTATTGACGGATCCAGCGGATCTGCTACTGTCAAATTGTGTGCAGACTCAGCCTGCTCTGAGCACCACAGGCTATGCCAGTATAGTAATGTTGTTATCCCACTTGTTTCCATGGACTGCTGGCCTTTTCAGGTCTGCCTGCTGGTTACATGATTGGCCGCAGCAGAGTGATATTGGGTTGCATTTCTCCAAAAGTTGATTCTGTTTCAACTTTTCGCTGCGGGTTGCTGCCTTTTGTTTTTTTCCAGCATCCACTGTGGCCCCACTACCACAGCCAAACCACACTACCAACATTCAAATGAATGGGAGGACTGGTGTTCTTGCCACAATGCCTGATTGGGTGTGAAAGCAAGCCCAACGATTTATTTCCACCAGATATTGAGACAGATGGCATCTTAATGCTCTCTGTTAATTTACTATAGAGAATAGGAGGAGCAGCCACACAGTGCATGGTGGGAGAGTGTGGCAGGTTTAGGAGAAGGGTTGCAGTGCATGCGCTGGTCTGTATTTGCATAAAGTAGACTAGCTTAACGCAGGTGAGTCAATCCAGTATAGTGGGCCTGGCACACGAAAGGTGCTCAAGCTAGGCGACGTAGTTCTTAAATGAAATCCATATTCAGCAGTGGCATTGCCTCTTTCTTGCCTCTGTTTTCAGAAATTGATTTTGGTTGATTGTATAGATGGAATAACAAAATTTATGAGCAGGCCACCATGTTGTTTCCTGTTAAAATGGTGAGCAGCGAACCAGAGACTGCTCAACTAGCCATGTGTTTTTCCAATCAGGTTCCTTTTGACAATAGGGTCAAGGAGAGAACCGGATCCAACCTACTTTTTTGGTGGGTATGCCCATTAAGCAGCCAGCTGAATGGAGCAGCGCTTCCCCATGCGGCTGTGCCGCATCTGGCGAGTAGGTATAGCTGCAGCTGGAGCAGCTATGTGACCTGCTCACCAGCTACTACATGACTCACCCACCACACCTATATAATCAGCCCCCTTCACTCCTTAGTGTGGAAACCCGAAGCCTGAAGAACATGCTTAGTAAGCATTTAGCTAACTATTAAGTTTGAGGTTAAAAGCGATGTGGTTAAGGGTAGGGTAAGGGTTACTTAAAAGATGTATCACATCTTCATGTATAATGAATTAAACATACATAATTATATTTCTACATTTGGCCTAATATATATATATCTATAGGGCTGGACAATATAGCTAAACATGTTATCAGGATAAAATTTTCTTCATTCTGGTCAGGAGCATGTCAAACTCTATGTGCAAACAGTGTAAAAAAAATGTGAACATATTTTAGCTGACAATGGAAACAGAATAAACAGACAAAATAAAAATCTTAACTGATTTCATTTCTTTGTCAAAGTTTCACACCCACAGTATGTCATTTTTGCTGTTTCCCAATCAAAACAAAAAAAAAACAGACTGTGGTGATGTTGTGAAGTAATGTGGGGTTATTTATTGTTGAGGAAAGTCTGTTTGACGTGACTCAAACCGAACTCATGTTTACTGATGAGTTAATAATATATGAAGGTTTCATTCATGTTACCGTTAGTCATGTCATTTTGTTCTAATGAAATAGGCAGTTAAGAATAAGAATAACTTTATTCATCCCCAAGGGGAAATTCAATTATCTGTCAGCTCATCTATTATGTCAAAGAATTATAAAGCCTGATGGCTGTTGGTATAAAGGATCTTCTGTATCTCTCTGTCCTGCATCGAAGAGAGAGGAACCATCCACCAGTTTTTTTGGTCCATCAAGGTGTTGTGGAGTGGATGATCTGGGTTGTTCATGATGGCCTCGAACATCTTCAGTGTGCATCTCTCCACCACCTCGTCCAGTGTGTTCAACCTTACTCAAGTCACAGAGCCAGCTCTTTTGACTAGTTTGTCCAGCCTCCTTGCATCTTTGTGTCTGATGCTTCCTCCCCAGCAGACTGTAGCATAAAACAACATACTTGCCACCACTGACTGATAAAAACATTTGCAGCATCTTACTACAGATGTCGAGAGATCTGAGCTTCCTCAAAAAAAAAGAGGCGGCTCTGCCCCTTTTTGTAGAGGGCGTTTGTCTTTAGGGACCAGTCCAACTTATTATCCAGGTGTACACCTAGATACTTATAGCTTGGCACCATCTCGATGTCCACCCCGCAGGTATTCACTGGCTGAAGAGGGGGCTTGGACCTGCAGAAATCTATGATCATTTCCTTGGTCTGTGAGGTGCTCAGGAGGAGACAGTTCTTGTGATTCCAGTTACTGAAGGCTTTTATCAGGTCCCTATATTCAGACTCCTGCCCATTCCTGATACACGCTACAGTAGCAGTGTCGTCCGAGTATTTCTGGATGTGGCGGGACTCAGAGTTGTATTTGAAGTCCGCCGTGTACAGTGTGAACAGGAATGGAGCAAGGACAGTCCCTTGTGGAGCCCCCGTGCTGCTCATTAATGTCCCAGAAATACAGTTCCCCAACCTGACATACTCTGGCCTTTCTGTCAGGTAATCTGTGATCCAGGAGATAAAGGAAGGATCCACTGCCATCTCTGTGAGCTTGTCTTTGAGTATGTTGGGTTGGATGGTGTTGAATGTGCTTGAAAAATCAAAGAACATGATTCTCACATAAGCGGCAGGTTCCTCCAGATGAGCTAGGGCACGCAGTGTTTCCCACAGGATTTTGGGAAACTATTGGGGGGGGCATCTGAAGAAAATTTTGAACACTGTAAATTGAAATATACAAAATGTACAGAAAGGTAAAATCATCAAGTTTTGAAAAAGTATTGCAATTTCATTTTGTCTTTAATGTTATTATCTTATATTATCTTTGTAATATGATTATCTTATATAATGTTATTACTATCCTAAAACATTCTCCAGGTCCTCTGTAACTCTGCAGGACTTATTTCCACCCTGCCCAGCAGCAGTACCGTGGCGAACGGTCCCTAACTGCGGGGAGAACGGAGCAGGCTTCCCCGGAGGTCCGCCCCTTTTCCCGGTCCCTCTTCTCCACACTTTGGACTCTAGTTTCGCAGACCGGGCGAGGTGGGGGCGCAGCGCACCTGCGCTTCGCCAACTGGGTGTAGCCAGGCGGATTTTGCAAGTTTGGCACACCGTGCGCCTGGCGCAGCTACTCGTCTGTCCCACCTCCGTCCCTCCTACATGCGCAAGTCGGAAAGAGGGAGGAGAGAAGGCGTGGAGTGGGTTTTACACACATCACACCAATTAAATGAGCCCCTCTCCTCGCCCTTAAATGTGCCGCACGAAGGCGTAATGAGAGTTTACTCAATTCGCCATTGCAGAAGAGAGCAGCAGCGTCAGACGGCCAAACTTCTCCCAGGAGGAAACTGATGTTTTGGCCCGGGAGGTCTGCTTGCAGTGTCCGAATATACGGAACTGCGAGCAGACCTCCACGGGCTGATGATGCAAAGGTAGCCTGGGAGGAGGTCACCACAATTGTAAATCAATGATGCGTTTCTCTCGTGCGCGCGCACTCTTTCTTTCTCTCTCGCAGTCTCACTCTGTTTCTTTTCTTTTGACTTTTCTAAGATGACAGATGCTGAATATATACTCCCTATCTGATGCTGTGGCTGTTTGTGGTTGGCTGAGAGGGATGTGAACTCATTAGTTTGCAGCTGTTTAATCAAATCAGGTTGGGTTTTACGCATGCCAAACGGTGCCAATCCCCTTTGATCTGACATCAGATGTGACGGGACAGTCGATATAGAGATACATTTATGTGCTGATTTCAGATAGTTGCATTGAATAGTGTTTTTTTGGGGGGTATTTATTGCATTGTTAATGTGCCTGATATTCTGGAAACCTGCCTGTGAGGTTTTGGTGACGTGTGCGCACTGTCCACCGGTCAGCCAAACTTCGGCTTACACCGGCTGCGCTCCCCCTGCGTTGACAGTAGACCTGGTTTCAGATGGCGAGCTTTTAGCGCACCTTCGGCGAAGCCTTTTGGCACGAAACTGTCACTGCGCCAAGCTGGATCTGTCGACACCTCCCCCTGCTGCGCCACCACACCCATCTCAGCGCACCTCG